GTGAATGAAAATATGCTCATGCCTTGCCAAATTTTATGTGGTAAAAAGTAAATTTAAAAATAAAAACAGGGAGAATTAAAGGGAGATAACTGCGGATTTGAAGTCTGAACACTATCATTGATAACTATCTCTTCTAATTTGCAGACCCTAGTTACTATATTCTTAATACTTGATATAATGTAAAAATATAACAATGATAAAATTGGTCAATAATTATTTATAATTATTTATACTGGGACTCATGCATGCAATTACAAGTAATCCATAATAATATTTTAAATTTTGAAATCATACTTATTTTTGGCATATGAATTTTTTGAAACCGTTTCTAAATCTTTGATTGTCTTTCAATCATTCCACTTTACCTGCTATCCTCTTCAGCTACACCTATATGGTGCACCACACTGTTTGGGAACCACTGCTTTAAGGTAGCTCTCTACCTTGAGTGCTCCCCACTGACCTTGTACAAGATAAAACAAAACATGCTCAGACCAAGTGATTTCTGAAAATGTTGAAAAATAAACAAATTTTTGAAATTCATCACCTTGAGTTCTTTTTTTATATATTACTATCAATTTCATATATTACTATCAATTTAGCACTCAAGATTATGAATTTAAAAAAAAAATCACATTGTATAAGCATATTTTGTTTTGGTTTCCATAGGGAGATCAATTTACAATAAATTTACATAGTAAGTTGGATCCCCCTATTAACTTAAATAAAATTTAATAAAAAAGTACTTTATTTTTATATTTGTAATCTGGAGTGATTAATCTATAGTAATGGGGAAAATATTTATAATTATTATTTCTGGTTGCAGTGCCTAGTGTCCAATCTACCAAAAATGAAAATACTATAATACCAAACAATCCATTCTATTCTGCAGTTTTGCCTCAAATTTGAACCTGATAGGAAATACCTTGTGAAAGTACTAATCACTTTGCTACTTGAGCCACAAACCTAACCACGTTCATTGTGTAATAAATAAGTTTAATTTGACATATTAAATACAGATTCGTCATATATAATTCCAATATCATAACATTAAAATGAATTAGAGGTTTTTAATTCACAATGACATAAAAAGAGAACATTATAAAATTATTATTGTTATTATTATAAATCTAAACACAAAGATAAATTCTAAAAGCCTGAAAAAGACAAGACAAAATATCTAGGGGATCAGTCTCAGAGATTTCATAATGAAAGAACGCTATCTGAAAAGCCCAAATTTAATCTGGTGTGTGTGTGGGGATTAGTGAGCATTGTGATTATCAAAAAGATAATTCTGTTACAAAATCAAAAAAAAGTGTTTTGGAGAGTGGACTCAGATGACCCAGACATGTAAAGCAATAAATTCCAGAGACGATAAAGATGATGTAAATCTTGATTTGAACATTTGAACGAAAGACTTGAGAATCAATTTCCACTCACCTTCTGCTGATTAGAAGCCTCCCAGCTGTACATTTTCTCTTGGTTCTTGAGAACTGGAACAAAACAAAAAAAAAAAACAAAAAAAATTAATAAACATGTTAACTAAAAGACAAAAAAATACCATTGTTTAAATAGTGCTGTGCCTTGTAGCAGTGTTCAAGTTCAGCTGAAATTTTGAATGATGTTCATGAAGACAGATTATCCCACTCTCCACTATCACTTGGAATATTATGACCCTTCATAAACCATTTCACCCCACTTAGTTTTATGCCATATTCCTAAGGGTCAGTCTCGTGGTTTGACACAATATAAAATCTTACTTAGTTCTTACTTTTGAAATACACTCAAACTATAAAAGTTTTACTGGTAGTAAAATCAAATTTTGAACTCCATCAGTGTTGACATTCAGTTTATGGACATTTGAGTTGGGAGTTTATCTTTTTTTAAAAGGTGTCACCAATGTTTGTCACAAAAATTCTTCTTTGCTTAAATATCAAAGAGGCGTAGTATCTCTGCCATATCTGGGATGGAGCTAACTAATCTTTACATTACAGCTTTGAGAGAGCTGAAAACCATTTACACACCATTGTATGCAATGCACCTGACAACTCCATTCCCACAAACGAAACATTGCTAGCCTGCCACATACACAGTTGACTCATTTCCTTTATATACCATTGGTAAGGAAGAGGTTCAACTCAGATAGTTTCTTCCCTAGAACTGTTCAACATTGTTGAAAATATTCTCGAAAGTATGCTTCCCTAATCAATACAGTCTTAACCACTTCTAGCCTCGTATCAATTGTTATCTATCCTACATATCCTCATAATATGCACTTTATACTTCCTTACAACAACCCCATACAGTAATCCTCTACATTGAGTGACTCTTGAGCCTTGTATTGAGTGAACAATAGTATAAAAAAGTATCAGTCTAGAAAGGATCTAGCAAGTTGATACTTACAAAATATCAGCCAAAGAAAATCCACCGAGTCCACTTCAAATGACTTTCTTGAGGATCTCCTATACTTATCCCAGCATTCCTTACACTTAACCTGAGAATATTATTACATAACTCCTTTACTATTATTGAACAGATTTTAAATGTTACGGAAAATAAATACCAGTTACTAATTTAATGAAGTAAATTAAAAAAAATATTTCTATAGCACTGTAAAAAATTTTTTTTTAAATTTCAAAGAATAATTTCTTTACAGCATTTTTGTTTTACAAAACTTAATAAAGATAAGATAATTAATTCTTAAAATTTTGTTTTAACAATAGTAATATTTACAAATTTTACAAGTAATAAAAGGATAAAAAAATGTACTCAATTTTCAAGATTTTTTTTACTGAAAAAATACATGACTAGCTTCGAGATCAACATCTGAATAGGAATCATTCCGTCAAAAGAATTTTTTGAAGAAACTGTTAATATTTACATAAAGAAAAATTATGTTTCTTATCCAAAAACATAGATAAATGCTTAGCTTTACTTTGTGAAAATCTACATGCAAATACCTATAGGAAAGTTATGAATCCATCTCTTCCCCACCAGCTATGGGTTAAATAGTAGGACTTGTATCTAGAAAAATTATTGTTATTCAAAAAAAAAATTGTGAATGCAATATCCATTCACAAAAAAAGAAATGAATTATTCTTCCAAGCCAAAAAATCTTTGATTAGGTTTTAAATAACCCATAAATGGTTGCTAAGCTGTAAAAAAAAACAAAAAAAACAAATATCTCAATCAATCATGAAAATTAAAAAAAACAAAATTTCTAGAAAGGATAACAAATACAAAGAATAATAAACATTTTTTAAAAATTAACTAAAATGATTTCTCAGAAGAAGATTCAGGGACCTACTGATATTTTTCCCCAATGAGAATCATGGACTAAGGATGTGTGGGTGGTGTAATGGATAGCAACTCAGAATGAAAAATCAGAAATTTAAAATTCCACTTGAACTCCTGATATTCACTTAGGCACAAATAGCCTTGGAAAAGGTACAAGTCCATTTCTTCTCCTCCAGTACAGATTGGGCTCTCTAGTCATGGTTGGCAACTAGTCGAGGAGAAGGACAATTTTGAATTAAAAAAATGTGTCATTTGTTCATAGTATTCAACCCTCAGCAATGAGCATGGAAAGAAGCAAGCAAATATGTCATTTTTAAATCCAGTTAACATTTCAAGTCACTTGCCACTTATTTCAGAAGAAAAAAATGTCAGTATATTTAAACCCAACTTTGCATCCAAAACCCTGGCAATATTTTTTGAGACCTTTTATTTGGAAATGGTTAGCGGCTTGGGTTGAGGAATCGGACAGCTGATCTTGAATTTCAGTCAAGTTCATTGCATTCACTTATGGACTAATACCCTTGGGAAAGGTAGGAATTCATCTCTTCCCTTCAACTATGGGTAAAATATCAAGTCAGATATCAAAGATTGGGTCCTATAGCCTTGGTTGGCAACCAATCTAGGAGAAGGAAAACTGAATTCGAACCAGACTGAAACACCACTGCTTCTGTGACTGCATTACATTTGGTGCCCCTAAGGGTTTACAAGATTTATGATCGCATGATTTGGAAAAAAATTTAGTTCCTATCTGACATTAAATATGATATTTATCAACATTTTATTCTTTATAAACTAAAAATCTTTTATAAAGAGAAACGCTAAATAGTTTTATATTTTTATTATTACTGCTTGTTATTAGATACACAAAGGTGGAAATTACTGAAAAATATTTGGCAGATTTTTTAAAATGTTAGAAATGATTGAAAATTAAAAAGAATTATCATTTATCATTTGCTCAAACCAGTTTCCTCAGATTGGCCATTTTACCCACAATGTTTCAGCCATTGTACTCTCTAGCCTTCTTCAGATGTTTTATTATATCCTCTGCTATTTCAACCAGCATGTTCATCTTGGTTGTTATACTCAGAACTTTTCAGTCATTGTACCCACTAGCCTTCTTCAGGTTTCTGTCTTATATCCTTAACTATTCAAACCAGTATGCTCATCTTGGCTGTTATACTTACAATGTTTCAAGCATTGTATCCTATAGCCTACTTCAGGTGTCTGTCTTATTATATCCTTTGCTATTCAGACAAGCATGCTACTTTGAGTGACCCTTGAGCCTTGTATTGAGTGAACTACAGAAAAGAAAATGTTGGTTATCTCCTGGAAATTTCCGGTTGGAGAAGTTTCAGAAAATAAGACCACTAGTAAATAACATTTGATAATGGTGTTTATAAAATAAATAATAATAATAATCACTAGTAGTACCTGTGAAAATTTCACAGTTTTCCTATTTTATTGATTGATTCATTCATTCATTTTCTTTGGCTTATCAACACTTTTGCAGCCAGAAAATCTTTTCAGCTTGTAAGAATTTTTTAAAGATAATGATTTAGAGATACAAGTTTAACTAATTAACCCACTGCTGAGGGTAGAAGAGGTGGATTCATACCTTTCTCAATGGCATTTGCACATAAGTAAATATAACAAACTCAATGAGAATTGGAACTCAGCTTTCCAATTAACAATTCCAAGCCATTATAGTACACAGTATTCTCAAACGGTGACCAATCTAGGTACTGGCCAGGCTCAACATTGCTTAACTTTGATGATCAAATGAGAACTGGTGTTTTAATGTGATGTCGCCACAAGCCTTTTTTATATTTCAATTTTCCGATGTATCATAATATTTAATGAATAAATAAGCACATTGCAAGTTACACAACTACAAAATACTTGTGGGATATTTCTCTGTTGCATCCTTAAATATTTCAGCTTAACAACTTCAACTAAGTATTGTAATATCAATCATAATTATGAATGAACGTCATTATTTAAAGAAGTAAGAGGGTACAAATGAAAAGATTCAAAATTGACAAGGTTTTCTATTTCACATCTATTTTCTCATCAGTGTAGTATGTATAATATAAAGTATCTGTGAAAATTCCCCTATTTCATTGTTAAATATTAACTAAACAACTTTAACAAATATTGCAATAAAATTCATAACTATGAATGTAAGTCATTATTTAAAGAAGTAAGAGGGTACAAATGAAAAGATTAAAAAATGATAAGTTTTTCCATTTCCTTGAAGTAGACATTAAACATATGAGAGTGTTATCCCTCCTCTACCTTCCCTTTCATTTTTTTTTCTCTCAATGAAGCCAAGTAGAATATCTGCTATGTTTTTTTCTATCTTTTTTTGCCATCAAACTGGAATTGTCCATTATTTATGATGTACTGGCAGGGTGTAATATACATACTAATTAAGGAATAATCAATTATAATGTTATAATGATAATCATGTTTATATACATTTTGTGCATGTAAACTTATAACACAATTTATGCAAGTTGTTTTTTCAGTTTAAAAATTTTGAGAAATAATTCTTTTAAGTAAAGTCTTTATGACAAATCACACAGAACATTTTTCTCTCAAATATTGATATTGTTCTATTAAAAGAAACCATTTCATGTAAAAGAATTTCCAAAATTAAGACAAAAAAAAAATATTTTAGTAAAAGACATGGACAACATTTAGATTTTAATGGATAATATGAAACAACTTTTAAAAGAAAAAAATTACAAAGGTATGGCTGTACTACGGGTTTGTATTACACACTAGGATGTAATTTATTCTGAGTTTCAAAAACACATGGTTGTATTATACTCAAGTCATATAATACAAAAGAATTTTTTTTTCTAAGATATGAAACTAATAATAAGTGGCACCTTAACCTCACTGGTCCAAATATATTGGAACCTGAGACAATTAAAAAAAATAGTTTTGATGACGAATATATAAAACATCCAAAGAATATTTTCAGCAAATGCATTTCTTAGTATTTTCCAAAATAATCATTGTGAAAGAATGATAATGAAAAAAATATTCTAGCTTGATGAATTGGTAGTAAATAATGTACATCATTGCACTGTATTAGTCACTTGACTGTTTTTTTATGATATGGCTGTGTCACACAAACCAATCAGAAAGTAGAGAGAATTATTAACGACAAGTATGGCAAATGGTGAAAATCAAGTGCTGGGAAAATAAGAAAAAGAAAAAAAAAATTACTTATAAAACAAAAAAAAAAAAAAAAATAATAATCAGCATCAAATTAAGTGCTGTGATTCAAGACACAAATGAAGGAATAAAACAATGATAAGTAAAAATGTCCACAGTAGATGATAACGTGGAGGAAATCTCAGAGAATCAAAGAATAGTTTTTTGTGATATGAAAAGATAAAAATAAAAAGAATACAATGAATATCTAAGTATACCAGTATCTATGGAGTAAGTAGTTTGAGATAAATTGTCATTTTTATGTGTTGTTTATTTAATATTTATTTCTCATCTGCACCAGTGATATGGCAATACTTCCTGCTTTTCAATATAAAAACAAAGTTTTCTTCCCTTCCATCCCGACAAAGAAATATAAACAACAAAAAAATTCCAAAATATAAAATATCATCAAAGTGTAAAGAAACAGTGATATGATAAAAAAATAAAAATTCTATTGACTTTAAATGCAATTTCTTTATTGTTCTGATTGCCAATATTCTTATGGCGTCTTTACTCAAAGACAAAAATTGCCAAAGTATAAATAAAAATAGTACAGAAAATTGTACAACTAAATTTAACCCTTACCTGAAGGTAAACAGAAAGATACTTGTAAAATCTAATGATATCCTTTCAGTTGTAAAATTTCTGAATTTCTGGATGTGAAGTTATCTTAATTTCCACTATTTACATACAGACTATTGTCCTCATCTTTGTTGTTGTTATCACAGCATTTTGGCTTTTGTGTCCTCAGGTCTTCACCTGATGTATGTTGATTCAGGTAATCTGCAGGAAATTGATAGTTCAATCCCTGAGATGAGCAGTGTGTGCTTGAACTTAGAGCAAGCAATAACTGAACAGTACTAAAAACAAGAACAAGAGAAGGTATCTCTAGACATGAGCAGTGGAATGAGAACAGTCTAATCCATAGATTAAATAAAGTGTTCAGTTCAGAATTTTTTGTAGATTACCTGGAGTTGCATACACCTGATGAAGGCCAGAGAGCACAACGACCGAAACGTTACAATAACAACAACAAAGATAAGGACAGAAATCCACATGTAAATAATGTAAATAAAATTGCAGCTGCAAAATTCAGTTTAAATTTAATGTAAATTTAGTTGTATTTGTAAAATTTAGTAGTAAATTTAATGTAAATTTAGTTATAAAAGTGAATAATTTAGTTATAAAAGTAAATTTTGTTGTAAAATTTAATAATTTAGTTCTAATTTTAAAATTTAGATGTAAAATTAATTTAGATGTCTATTTTTTTGTAAAACTTAATAATGTAGTTTTAAGTTAGTAAATTTAATTGCAAAATTTATTAATTTAGTTGTAATTACAAAATTTAATTGGAAGACAAACACATATTGGGCCAGGAAAAAGGACATTTACAAATTACAATATAACAATGAAGCATAAATTTATTAAGAACACAGCAACCTTGACTCTGATTATGAGTTTCAAATACAGAAAATAAAGGAATTTATGAATTGGAGATTGTCAATAATAAAACGTTTGATAAAAAATGTTTTAGTACTGACAAGCTCCAGGGAATTTATCCCGAGGAGTGAAATAGCCATAAAAATGAGGTACAACTGAGTTTCATTTTTGTAATTCATTTCAACGCTCTCTCTCTCTATATATATATATATATATTGAGCTCTCTGTTGCAGATCAGTTTTATTATTTTAGATTAATACAATTCACTTGGATTACTTACCCACTGATTTTTACCTAAAATTGTAGGAAAATTGACAATTGCAAAATGTTAAAACAAAAATTGCAATTTTTGTAGAGCTTTTACATCATGCATGTTATATGCATATTGTTAAAATTTACAACTGCAAATTACAAAAACAAAAATAGCAATTTTTGTAGTGATGTTATAACATGCATATGTTACAATTTTTTGATATATATATATATATATATATATATATATATATATATATATACATTTTTCAGCAATTCATCAAAAGATTAAAAATATGATAGATAAACTGTCTATATTTCAGAGATGAAGTATTATGTACACTATTTACAATATTCGGACTATTGTCCTCATTTTTGTTGCCATATTTATCACAATGTTTCAGCTGTTGTATGTCCTGGCCTTCTTCAGGTGGTTAAAATGTCAAACTGAACCCTTTATTTCACTCGCTGGGGTAGACTGTCCTAGTTCCACGTATCATGTTTAATGGATGTCAGTTATCAATTATCTCCTGTTAATTCCCCTATCCTTAAGGACACATGGTACAGTGGTATTGGTTAGATCCAGTGACAGGACCCAAAGAGTTGTGAGTTCTATACCTGGTTAAGGCAGTGGAGAACTTGGAGAGGTGAATTAAGTGGAGATAACTGATAACTGACATACACTGAATGTGACATCTAGTCGAACTAGAACAGTCTATCCCAGTGAGTAAAATAAAGGGTTCAGTTTGACATGCCAACCACCTGAAAAAGGCTGGAGTATACAAGGGCCGAAACGTTGTGATAAATATGGCAACAAAGATGAGGACAATAGTCTGAATAATGTAAATAGTATAAACTTCTCTGTTATTTTTGACAAACCTTGTCTGAATATGTTGGTTACAATCTCTGCTGAGAACATCTCTTCCACCAATTTATACACAAATTTTGGTAATTGTACTGATGAACTTTGCGCTGTTATAATTAGCCTTTATGAATTTAAGTGCAGTACTAGATTAGCAGCAAAGTCATCATTCTGCAATTGAAATAGTGTGAAATGAATAAAAAAAAGGAAAAAATTATGGCACTTTCTAAAGCTAGAATCTCCTTTGAAAGGGAGATTTCCAACTGTAGACAAGATAGGTAATATGCTTTTTAAGCTCCACACTAAGTATCTACTAAAAATTTCCAAAATAGTTATATTTAGATGTAAATTTACATGCTTAATTAAAAAATAACAAAGAAATTTTGATAAAATCTACCATTTTGGAGTTATCAACAATAAAAGTTCAGACACATTTGTGTTACAGCAGTCATTACTGGTGTTGTTTGCATATATTTTGTGTGGTCTTGATTATTGCGCATGCATTGAGTCCTCAGTTGCTCAGTAATTGAGTCAAGTAAGAACTGTAAAAAAAAGCTGTTAACAAAGTAATCTTCCGTGCAAATCTAATCAGCAGTGAATGTATACAAACAATGCCAGTAATGGCTGCTGCACCATAATGCAAATGAGTCTGAACTTTCACTGTCGGTAAATTTTATCGAAATTTCTTTGTTATTTTCAAATTAAACATGTACATTTATACATAAATATAACTATTTGGAAAATTTTTATTAGATATATAGTGCAGGACTTAAAAAGCAAATTACACGACAAAATTAAAGATTAAGGAAAATGTAGCAAGGAATCTGATGGCAATCCTGAAAGATGACTTTACAGAATTCTTTGGAATACTTAGATAAACTTATAAAATCTTAAACGTTGCACTCTGAAAGATCTAAGGTTATTTTTTCATAATGTTTAATGGCTGGAACCTTTCCATCCGACATTTAATCTATAAAATGATATAACGTTCTGATGATAATGATCAGTGAAATATTCAATCAGAGATTGATAAG